TTCCTTCCTTCCTTCCTTCCTTCCTTCCTTCCTTCCTTCCTTCCTTCCTTGGAGCTTGGCTTGTCTACTTCTTGGGTGGTCAAGCCTCCTGATGGTCAGCGATGGCCAACCATTTTGCAAATTCGAAATAGGGGACATGAGCCAAACCCACCTGGTGGCAATTCACGAGGATTTGGGAGAATCTCATAAGAATGGAGAGTTCAGGAGGGATGAACTGTAGTTAAGCTTTGGGGCACTTCCAACATATTTTGAAAAAAAATAACAACTGTCTTTTGAGACAAATTGCTTTGATAAAGGAAACATTCTTCTTCGCTGTTTTCTTTTCTACTATATATTTTACTGTATAGTGCAATATTTTATTGGATATTCTACTATATATATGGTATATAATATACAGTATATTGCATATAATGTATATAATATATGCATGTATATAATGTACATAATATATAATAAAGTATATAATACTGTACAATAATGCATATTCTACACTATATGGTAGAATACTGGATATTCTACTGTATATACTGTATATAATATATAATATATATTGCATATAATGTATATAATACATGTATATAATGTACATAATACACAGTATAATAAAGCATATAATACTATACAATAATGTATATTCTACACTATGCAGTAGTAGATATAACATATAATATATATTGCATATAATGTGTATAATATATACATAAATATAATGTATATTATAATAATATATAATATTGTATAATACTGTATATTCTACACTATACAGTATTATCTATTGTATAATGCAATATTTCACTATATATTCTATTGTATAGTACAATATAAATGCAATATCATTTCAATTCAATTGTATAGAATGCAAAGAATGTGTGATTGTGTTTTATTTTTATGGTTATAATGTACACTGAAGATGGCATTTAATTTTCTTGCATGAAGTGTAATGACGATAAAGTGAACTGAACTGACTGAAAACAATTGCTTTTCATTTTAGAAAAGCTACTTTTGAAAGGAATTTATCAACTCCCAGTTTGAAAAAAAGGGGCCATGGGATTGGAGATTGGATTAGTCATCGCACAACTCGTATTAAAGACCTTTTAATTCCCTCCAGGATATCTTTTTTTAACTCCAGTAAATGAGAATGACTCACTTTCCCCTTTTTTCACTTTGTCTAACCAAAATAAAAAAAATAAAAACCAGAATATTTAGTGGAGGATTTTCCGGGAAGGCTGAAAGTGGAAGTTTGCTCCAGAAGTTCTGTAGTTTTGCAAGAAGTCACGTTAAGTGGTCGAAGATAAAAATATTAACAGAATAACAGAGTTGGAAGAGACCTTGGAGGTCTTCTAGTCAACCCCCCGCCCGAGCAGAAGACCCTACACAATTTTTGACAGATGGCAGTCCAGCCTCTTCTCAAAAGCTTCCAGTGATGAAGCTCCCACAACTTCTGAAGGCAACTTCTGTTCCATCGGTTGATTGTTCTCCTTGTCAGAAAGTTTCTCCTTATTTCCAGGTTGAATCTCTCCTTGATCAGTTTCCATCCATTATTCCTTATCTGGCCTTCAGGTGCTTTGGAGAATAGCTGGATCCCTTCCTCCTCTCTGTGGCAGCCCCTCAAATATTGGAAGACCTCTATCATGTCTCTCCTGGTCCTTCTCTTCACTAGACTAGCCAGGCCTAGTTCTTGCAATCCTTCTTACAGGATGATTAGATTTTTTGCACAGTGCAAAAATTAGCATCCTCAACTCTACGCCTATAATCCTCTCAGTGGAGGTTATTTTTGAATGCAGAGAATTTCTCTGGAGGCTTGTCCTCCCTCATAAATTAATGTGCACACTATTTCTTCCCTCCTTGTATGACAAACTAGCCCCCGTCACGAGGTCACAAATCAAAACATCGCCTTTCTCCGCTCTTACCTTTTGTAACACCCTGCTTGCTTTTTTTTGCAAGCCGCACAAAATTACACCCAACCTTTGCTCTTCAGACTTCATCCTTCATGGAGCTACTTCCGAGGTTAACGTTACTATTGTTTTGTGCCTCCTGGCCAAAAGTCTCCGCTAAGGTGATCGGTAAACTCTCGCTCATTTCTCCAAGTCAACTTCGAGCTCCCAAAAGATGAATTTGTGTGTTATTCACTAAAAAGGTAAATTCCCCTTCAGGTCAAACCTGAGCGAGTGCTTGAATAATGTTTCTTGCAGCCATAGAGAATCGGGTAGGTCACTTTGGGATTTTTTTTTAAAAAAAGCTTGCTTTTAGCCTCCATATAAACATAGAAAGGTGTTTTTAACCCAGCTCGCCAAACACGACAAGCCCTCTGTGGTTGAAGCAATGTGTCAGCTACGCAATCATGATTCATCGCTGCCACAGAGCTGGAGAAAGTGGGAGGGGGGTGATGTTAATTGAGTAGCTCTTGGTAGACAAAATATAATTCTTTTGATAGTTCAAGGTTGTTAGGAATATAAGTCGCCTAACAGGCATTTGGGTTAGAAATATATAAACCAGGATAAACATTTTAAAACTGTATCTTTAAGAAAATGAAAAACTGTAATTGGGTGTGGTTTCTCAAACGGCCATAAGATGGAGCCAGAAACCTGGTTTGTCTTAGTCTTAGTCTCAGAAGAGAGTGTGTCTGAGTGATTATCTCTGTTTCCTTCTGTTGGAAAGTATTGCCGTTGCTCCATTTCTTCCAATTGACTGATATTACTGGATTTAATGTAAGTCTGATACTGAACTGTTTTTGACACTGGAATTTGATATTTGGATTATCCCTGGATTGAAAAACTGACTGATTTACCTGTGAATGACTTTTGGACTGCTTATTTTGGACTTTGCTTAAACCTTTCTGGAAGTAAAAACCTACATTTACTGTACAGTGTATCTGTGTACTGTGTGTGTATTATTCAAACACTTCTCTCAAATACGTCTCCCTGTATGCGCTCATTCTCTTAATGGGGAATTACCTCAACAAAGGTTAAAGAGTGTGGCGCAGAAAGAATTGGAACTTACTTTGGGATTGATTCATGTGATGAGAAAAAAGGGGATGGTTTGTAGGTTGGGACATTGTGGGGAAGCCAGGAAACTTTTAGTTTTGGAATTCCACAGAATGTGCCAGCTGCTATTCTAATAAAAGTACTTTGAGATTATACTTATCTTGGAGTTACTGACCGGAATGGATTTTCCCTGGAACGCAGACACAATGATTCCTTCAATAGGAGTACCAACAGCCCCGGCAAAAAGTTTATCTCTTACCGCAGGATAACAAGTCTATCCTGCTGGGAATAGTTGTTTGCTACATCTATTCATCTCCACCCACTGCCTTTTATCCCCAGAGCCTCGCAAGCAGCAGTGGCTCTTCCGTCCCAAGGACCGGCCCATAGATTTCCACTGCTCTCCTCTCCTCTGCCTTCTGTGCATCAGGCACTGAACCCAGCTATTCCTCCTCTTCCACATCAGCCACCTCCAGACCTGGGGGCTATTGACTTTCCATCTGAGGGCTGACGGACGGCCCAGGCTCCGCCCCCCCCTCTGCCAGCTCCATTCCCTCCTCCCCCTGGGAGCTCCCAGGTTGCCGTAATGCTGACCTTAACTCTCACGCCTCCTCCTCTTCCTCTGATTCAGCTGCTGGAGGGGCCAGCGGTCAACAGGCCACAACAAAAGGTGACAGAAGAAAAAGACCTAGTGGCCCATCGAGTCTTCCCTTTGAGTTTTTTATTTTTTTTTTATTTTATCATTTTAATTTTTGTTGAATGATGTGTTTATTCCAAGCAGGTTTAAACTCAATTTTTGGGTTGGATGATGGACGTGTGTGTTCATCCCAAGCATGCTTAAACCCCAATTTCTGTTGCTAAGGCAGACAGTTATTAAGTGAGTTTTGCCCCCAATTTACAACTTCTCTTGCCATGGTTGTTAAGTGAATCACAGCAGTTGATAAGTTAGCAACCTGGTTGTTGTGTGAATCTGCCTTCCTCGTTGACTTTACTTCGCGGAAGGTCGTAAAGGGAGATTACATAACTCGGGATGCTGCAACCGTCATAAATAGGGACCCGTTGCCAAAGCATCCAAATTTTGATCTCAGGACCCTGGGGATGCTATGTGACAGTTGTGTGAAAAATGGCCACAAGGCACGTCTTTCAATGTCACTGTAACTTTGAACGGTCACTAAACAGAAAGTTGTAAGTTGAGAACTATTTGTACTGATGACTGGTCCGCTACCTCTGCTGGAAGTTGGTTCCAAACTTCCACTATTCTTTTTGTGAAGCAATATTTTCTGACGTAACTTTTGAAGTTCCCTCTTGTCGGTTTCAGGTTATGGCTCCGTCTTCTTGATTTTTGCTTAATATCGAAAAGATGGCCTTCTAGAACCATTCCCCATTCCCTCCCCACCCCACTAACCTGCTTTCCAGCTCCGTTCTCCTGGGCAGGGCAGCCAAAGGAGATCCAGCCGATCAGCTGGGACTCGGGAGGCAGAGAATAAAGGGGGGGGGCAGTCAGAGGTAGGATTTGCCGGTTCTCCAAATTACTCAGAATTTCCGCTACCGGTTCTCCAGAACTGGCCAGAACCTGCTGAATCCCACCTCTGTGTCAAATTCAAGGTCCGCAGACCGGATCCAGCCCTCAGGGTGCTTAGCTCCGGCTTGCAGTGCCATCCTAGAAGCAGTGAATGTCAGGACCATGGTGCCTCTGCTAGCGAAAACGGAGCTTGGTGAGACTGTGTGTGGTGCTCCCGAGCTCCGTTTTCAGCCACAACAGCCTCTTGCAGCCCTCTGCCAGCAAAAACGGAGCTGGGGGGGTGGGGTGGGGGACTCCGTTTTCACTAGCAGAGGGCTGCAGGAGGCTGTCACGACCAAAAATGGAACTGTACATGGTTCCGCCAAGCTCTGTTTTTGCTAGCGGAGGGTCGCAGAAGGCCACTGCAGCCAAAAACGAAGTTCAGGAGCCTGTTTTCACTGGCAGAGCGCTTGGGCCGCAGAAACACCCGACCCCCAACACAAGTGCCATGAAGCTGGCTGTGCCCACCCTGGCCACACCCACCTTGGCCCTCCAAGGTCAAAAACACAACCCTGATGCGGCCCTCGGTGAAATCGAGTTTGACCCCCCCCCCGGGTTAATGAGTCCACTCTGAGCCGATCGGTATCAAACTCCTGGCAGTGGGCAGAGCTTGCCTGCAGTACTGCATTGCAAACACCGCACCCCACTTAGGCAAAGGTAAGAAAACAGCCACTTGCCATTCGTAGGCGTTTCATCCCAAGCGTGGACCACAAGAGACCTGCCTTGTAGGTCTCAGGAACGGGGAGATCTACAAGATCGTAGACTGTCATTCTGCCACCAGACGGACACGCAAAGGTTCAACGAAGGCACATTCATAGGTGCAATTACCTGTGGAACAGTCGTGCCCGGTCCAGTTGGGATCGCAGGTGCAGAGGCTGGTTTCGGACAGGAAGGTTCCATGGCCCGAACACTGATCCAGACAAGTGGCTCTCGGGGTCTCACAGTTGGCCCCTCCCCAGCCCACGGAGCAGTGGCATTCCCCTCTCACACAGACGCCACGTCCTGAGCAAGTGGGGTCCATGCAGTCCACTGCAAAGCAAGGAAGAGAAAACGTGGAAACATGAATTAGAATTGTTTATTGGCCAAGTGTGGTTGGGCAAGCAAGGAATTTGTCTCCGGTGCATAAGCTCTCAGTGTACATAGGACACAAGTAGGCTTTGCCTGTTTCAGTTATAGTATAGTGTAGCGTAGTGTAGTGTAGTAGATTATAGAAGAGTTTAGTAGAAAAGAAAAGAATAGAAAAGAAAATAGATAGAAAATAGGGAATAGAATAGAATATGGAGAATAGAATAGACTAGAGTAGAGTAGAATAGGGTAGAACAGAATAGAAATAGAATAGTATAGAATTCATTATTGGCCAAGTGTGGTTGGGCACACAAGGAATTTGTCTCCAGTGCATAAGCTCTCAGTGTACATACAAGGACACAAGTAAACTTTGCCTGTTTCTGTATAGTATAGTAGTATAGTATAGTAGTAGTATAGTAGTAGTATAGTATAATATAGTATAATACAGTATAGCATAGAAGAGTAGAGTAGAATAGAATAGAAAATAGATAGAAAATAGGATAGAGAATAGAGAATAGAATACAATATAGAGAATAGATTAGAGTTGAGTAGAAGAATAGTATAGAATAGTATAGAATTAGTATAGTATAGAATTATTTATTGTCCAAGTGTGGTTGGGCACACAAGGAATTTGTCTCCAGTGCATAAGCTCTCAGTGTACATAGAAGAACACAAGTAAGCTATGCCTGTTTGAGTAGAGTAGAGTAGACTAGAGTGGAGTGGAGTGGGGTGGGATGGGATGGGATGGGATGGGATGGAATGGAATGGAATAGAATAGAATGGAATAGAATAGAATAGAATTCTTTATTGGCAAGTGTGTTTGGACACAAAAGGAATTAATCTCCAGTGCATAAGCTCTCAGTGTACATACAAGCAACAAATGATAAATCATGATTATAATCATAAAATACACTTATCATAAATCATAAGATACAACACTCAGTGATAGTCATAGGGTACTAAGTAAGCAATCAACATAAATCATACTAAGATATTAAATGCAGGCAGTCCTCAACTTACGACCACAGTTGAGCTGAAAAATTTACATTGCTAGGTGAGAAATTTAAGTGAGTTTGCTCTATTTTACGACTTTTCTCGCCACATTTGTTAAATGAAATCACTGCAGTTCTTACATTAATAACACGTTTGTTCAGTGAATCTGGTTTTCCCATTGATAGAAAGGAAAGGAAAGGAAAGGAAAGGAAAGGAAAGGAAGGAAGGAAGGAAAGGAAAGGAAAGGAAAGGAAAGGAAAGGAACAAGCTGGGGTGGGCATAATGGTTAGAATGCAGAACTGCAAGCTAATTCAGCTCACTGCCAGGAGTTCGATCCTGACCGGTTCAAGGTTGACTGAGCCTTCTATCTTTCCAAGGTCAGAAGGACTCATATTGTTGAGGGGGCAACATGCTGACTCTCTAAACTGGTCAGAGAGAGTTGTGAAGCACCGTGAAGCGGTGTATAAGTCGAAGGGCTATTGCTAATGCTATCCTTTTGCAGGTGGGCCGTTCAGGCCCTCTGGAGAGGCATGCAGAGATGCCCTTAATGTGCCAACTCTTCCCCTCTCTTGGGACCACCACCGAGGCAAGGAGGCTGGCTTTATCAACCTCGGGCACTATGGCATCCTTTTAGAGGCCTGGCAGCTTCCACCTCCTTTTTCTCCCCCTTCCCCCACCCTCTCCTTCCAGGAGCAAACAGGGGGGAAAAAAAGAGTTGGAAGCGTATTGCCAGTCCCCGAAGTGCTTAGCAGATGGTTCAGTCGTGGGGAACAAAGATTGCCGGATAAGTGACAAGGGGCTACTGGGATGCAATTAATCATTCCTGCCCGAAGAAGGCGGCCCACGGAGGGGAAAAGGGAGTTGTAAGGGGGTCTCCATCACAGAAGGCAGAACGCTCTGCTAACTCAGCGTTAACGGCGCAGGTAAGGACATGCCATTCATCATAAAGCCAGGGCTATTTTTCATGTCCAAACGAGCCCTTTCATGAGACGGACTGCACAATGGCGCCTTTAATTTTGCTCGCTGGCCTGGATTTCTTAAATGCTCTGCTCTATCTATCTATCTATCTATCTATCTATCTATCTATCTATCTATCTATCTTCTAATTTTCTTTCTTTCTTTTCCTTCCTTTCTCCTTGCCAGCTTCCCTTCTTTCTTTCCTTCCTCCTTGTTCCATTTTCTTTCCTTCTTTTTCTTTCCTTCCTTCCCTTCCCTTCCTTGTTTCCTTTATTCCTTCCCTCTTTCTTTCTCTCTTTCCTTCCTTCCCCTGCCTTCCTTTTTTCTTTCCTCTTCCTTCCTTCCCATTCCTTATTTTCCGTAACTTCCTCCTTCTTTCCTTTTTCTTTTCTTCCTTCCCCCTGCCTTCCTTTCTTCTTTCTTTCTTTTCTTCTTGTTCCATTTATTCCTTCCTGCTTTCCTTCTTTTTCTTTCATTGCTTTCTTTCTTTCCTTGTTTTCTTTATTACTTCTTTCTTTCCCTTTCTCTATCTTTCTTTCTTTCTTTCTTTCTTTCTTTCTTTCTTTCTTTCTTTCTTTCTTTCTTTCTTTCTTTCTCTTTCTTTCTTTCCTCTTCCTTTCCTTCCTTCCTATTTCTTCTTTTTCTTTCCTAACTTCTTCTTTCCTCGTTTTCTCTTTCCTTTTTTCCTTCTTTCCTCCCTTCTTCTCCTTCTCTTTGTTGCAAATACTTTCAACTCTCTCTCTCTCCCACTCTCTGTAGTTCTCTCCCCGTCTCCCCATTTTTTCCTCAAAGAGAATAATATACTTCAAAATCCCGCTACTCAGCCAGTTTTTCATGGCTCAGCCCCGAAATACCCAATTTTTGGACTTCTTTCCATGAATGGGTGATGTCGCTCCACAGCAGAAGTTACGACTGTTGGCACAATCCACTGAGAATATATGAATGCCAAGCCAAGTAAAGTGAATGGGGACTGCAAAAACTCCTTGTGGCTTTTATTCATTGCGGGAACTGCACTGAAGAACCACCCAAGAATGGGGCTCTAAATTTGCAACATCACAGAGACCTCCAAGGATGGGTAAAAGCCAATGGAAAGGATCTCAGGAACAAAACACTTTTTATTTCAGAGGGGAAATAATAAAAAAAAGTCAAATCAGGAACTTTCTAAAATCAGGTTGAGAGTGAGCACAGCAAGCTTTTATTCTTTATCGAAAATTCGGACTATTCGGACAGCCAAGACAGAAAACAATAGGCCCTGAAATACAGAATGGAACTCGGACCTATATAAATTTGTCTTTACGCAAAGAGAGTGCAAAATAATGGCTGGTTATTTGCACGCGGGCAAAAGGGGAACCTGGTTTCAGCACTTGTCCAAACTATGATATAACCCAGAGGTGTCCCACCTTAGCAACTTCAAGAGTTTTACGAATGCAGGCGGATATACGTGTCCCAGAATAATGTTACAGGATCCAATCTGGGTCGGTTACACCTGGATGAGAGGTTTTACCTTCCGAGTTTTTGGTCTCATGCAGGAGAACTTCTCTCTCATCACTGTGTGTTTTGCGTTGTTGTTTGTGTGGTATTTACCCAATGCCTGTTGTGTGTGTGTGGCTTTTTAATTGTTGACTGGCTGGCTATTAAGATGGAGTTTGCGGGCAACAAAGACACTGCTTTAAAAAATTTCAAGAAGGAGAATTCTGGCTCATTCAGGTTTTGTTTTAACAAATACGAGCCAAGGGAGGAAAAAACTCATGATGCAATTAATATTTTTTTTAAACTTAATATTGCAGGGACTAAATAGAGTGCACCCCGTAAAACTGGAAACATACTGAATTAATAAAAAGAAGGGAAGTTTATTGTCTGTCCCTCCTCTAAAGGAAAAATATAACATTTGTAAAGTATTTGAAATCAACATTACAGAAGGATTTACAGAGGAACAGACTTGAATAAACGTCCCATGTAGCAGTCTTTATGCACTCTTTCAGCATTAATTTCCTCTCAGCGGAACAGCTCTTACACCTAGTGTAAAAGATTCAAGCACGGAGGGAAAGATACTTCAGTCAACAAGTTGTATGGAAAAGCTTGGCTTGCTTTTTAAAAAAATTAGGCTTCTGGCCAAGTAACATTGAGTTTCTATTTATTTAAAGCTCTCGACTTGGCTTGTATTGCCTCAAGAGACTTACCAAGCAGTCGAGAAATAAGACATGTAAATAAAATTACAGCAAAACCAGGAAAGAATCGTAATTAAGTTCAGCGTCGTAGGTACCTTTAAAAAAAAAAAAGGCAGCGACAGATGAAGCAGTAGAAAACATGCTTTTCGCCAATTCTTATGAAATGAGGTCGAGAAATAACTTCCCTAACTAGAGTCCAACCTTGAAATGAGAGAATGCAGGTAGTCTTTGACTTACAACCGTTCGTTTAGTGACGGTTTGAAGTTACAACGGCCCTGAAAAGAGGGACTTAGGAAAAGGGGTGGGGTTAAAAAAAAATCCCAGCCACCGGTTCGCTGCCCGGGTGGCTGGGTAGGTGTGGCCATGGTGGGCGTGGCCTATCGGAATATCCGGGAGGGCCGTTTTTTTGCCTGCCCCGGGGTCTGGAGCCTTCCCTTGAGCCTCTGGGACGGTCTGGAGGCCCTCTGGAGGAGAGGGGTGTGAGGGGCCAGCCAGTCAGAACCAGTCCAAAACGGAAGAATCCCACCTCTACTTATGACCATTTTTCACATGGCTGCTGCAGCCTTCCTGTGTCATATGTGATTTACATTCGGACGCTTGGCAACTGATGTTGTGGTTCACCAGCAGCCGGTGCAGACGGCAGCGGAATTGGACCGTGGGGAAGAACGGGGACCAGTCAGGGAGTCTGGAGAGGATTCAGACAAGGGTCCTGCGTCTGATGCAGAGATGGAGCCAGGGCCATCTGGGAGTGGGGTGCTGCCTCCAGAGCCTCCAGAATCTGGCAGCAGTGAGGAAGAGGACCCAGGGGAGCCTGTTCCCAGTGTGTGTGTGTGCAGAGCTGCTAGAAGGCAAAAGCAGCTAAGAGAAAAGGGGCAACTCGGGAGTAAGGCTGGGAGGGGACTGCCCCTCCCATAAGGTATAAAGGTCAGGCCAAGATGACAAAACCTTTGCAGGAAGCAAAGTAGTTCGATCGGTTCAGAATCATTCTGGAAGCTCTTTGTACTTCGGTTGGGTTTTCTTTGGACTTCAGTTGGTTTCTTTTCTAGTTCACTTGATACTTCTGTTTTTGGCAGCACTTCACAGAACTGAAAGGTGTGTGCTTATCTCAGGGGATTGTTTGAGATTAATTCCGGCTGGGAATGAAAACAATTCCCAGCGCTGCAAGAAAATAAGTCTTGTTTTTAAAATCAGCGTGCGCGCAATTACAGTTTAGGAAGCCTGGGTCAGAAAAAAATTGACTCGTATTTACGACGGTTGCAGTGTCCCGGAGTCACATGATTCCACTTAGAGAGGGCTGTAAAACACCGTAAAGCAGTATATATATATAAGCAGTATATAAGTCTAAGTGCTATTGCTACTGCAAGGGACTCTGTGCTAGTCAACTGCAGAAAAAGAAAGGAAACAAAAAAAAAAACCCACTTTCAGATAACCTTAAGACAAAAAAACCCCAGTTTATTCTAAAGTAGAAATGACGGCAGATGGACGGAAAGCTACTTCAGACTGCATTAAAAGCTTCCATTTGGCAAAAGCTGCTGGCTGAGAAGCAAAGAGAGAGGGATTGATTGATTGATTATTCATATCCATATCTAATTTACTTAGGTCTCTCGGTATTTGAGGTTTGTGTAACTTTGGTGAGTCTACGCTGGCAGGATTGATGTGTGTATCCTGTCTCCTGGGATGCCCTTAAAAAAAAAAAAATGAAAAATGCTGCTATCCCTGCTATGCTGCTATACAAGGTTAGACACACTTAAATTCATCAATTACGTCTAATGCTGGTTACAATAGGAACCGAAGTAATTGGGGCATCCATAATTTTGATGACAAGGGAAATGGCGCAGGAGGGGAGGGGCTGCCAGGTTTTTTAGGAGCAGCATTACACAGCCGGAAACGGTGTAAAAGGACAATGACGTGGTGGAGCAGCATAAAAATCCTAGGATCAGGATCATAGGATCAGGAAAAGAAGAAAACGGAAAGGGGAAAGGAAAGGATAGGGCAGGACAGGTTAGAATAGAACAGAATAAAATAGAATAGAATAGAATAGAATGGAATGGAATGGAATAAAATGGAATGGAGGAGAGGAGAGGAGAGGAGAGGAGAGGAGAGGAGAGGAGAGGAGAGGAGAAGAGAAGAGAAGAGAAGATTGAATGGAATGGAATTGGAGAAGAGGAGAGGAGAGGAGAGGAGAGGAGAAGATTGAATGGAATGGAATTGGAGAAGAGGAGAGGAGAGGAGAGGAGAAGAGCAGAGAAGAGAAGAGAAGAGAAGAGAAGAGAAGAGAAGAGAAGAGAAGATTGAATGGAATGGAACTGGAGAAGAGGAGAGGAGAGGAGAGGAGAGGAGAGGAGAGGAGAAGAGAAGAGAAGAGAAGAGAAGAAAAGAGAAGAGAAGAGAAGAGAAGAGAAGAGAGATATACAGGACAGGACAGAATAGAATAGGTATACAGGATAGTGTAGTGTAGTGTAGTGTAGTGTAGTGTAGGATAGGATAGGATAGGATAGGATAGGATAGGAATATAGGACAGGAAGAAAGGAAGGATTTCTGACAGTCCTTGCCAGAGTCCCACCAAGAAATTCAATGGGAAAGCCTGCAGGAAGTCGGAAGTTTCTTTTACTCTAATGGCTTTTTCACCTACCTTCATTCCTTCTGCTCCTCTGTTTGGGTAAGGTGATATCTCTGAAACGATGACCCCACTGGCTGGGGAATTCTGGGAGTTGACATCTATCCGTCTTAAAAGTTGCCACGGTTGAGAAACATTGCTCCAAGCCAGGGTTACCCACTAGGTGGCTCCTCCCGCCAAAATCCCGCCAGCACCAACCATACCAAGTGAATCGAAGAAATGTCTGGCATTCTGAAATTTATCTAACTGTGGGGAAAGGACCCCATGGGATCTTAAAAGGGAATTACCTTCTTCACAACTCTCTCCCTTGTAGCCCGGGTTACAAATGCAGGTTCCCATGATGCATGTCCCATGGCTGTTGCAAGAAACGTCGACACACTGATTGGTCGGGACGTCGCACTCGGCTCCTTTCCACCCGCTGTGACACAAGCAACGTCCTTTCATGTATTGTCCGTTCCCACTGCACAACACTGGGCAAGACGCTGGGAAGGAGGAAGACAACGCAAAAGAGGGTCGTGAGACACACAATCAATGTTGGTCGACAGCTTAAGGAGATCACCAAGATCAGATACAATGGGAGGGAATTTAAAATGGATTACAGCTAGTGTTCAACTTACCACTACTGTTGTGGTTTGCCAGCAGCCTGTGCCGGACAGTGGGGAAGAACAGGGACCAGTCCAGGAGTCTGGGGAGGACTCAGACGAGGGTTTTGCATCCGATACAGAGATGGACCCAGGGCCATCTGGGAGTGGGGTGCTAACTCCAGAGCCTCCGGACTCTGGGAGCAGTGAGGAAGAGGACCCAGGGGAGCCTGTTCCCAGTGTGTGTGTGTGCGCAGAGCTGCCAGAAGGTAAGAGCAGCTGAGACAAAAGGGGAGACTCGGGAGTAAGGCTGGGAGGTGATTGCCCCGCCCATAAGGTATAAAGGAAGTACAAAGGTAGGAAAACCTTTGCAGGAAGCAACGTCATTCACTCTGATTGATTTGGACTCTGAAAACTCCATGGTGAATTTGTTCTCTGTTTGGTTTTGGAAAGACTAATCGGGATTTTAGTCATTGGCAGCACTTCAGGTCAGATAAAGGTGCGTTCTTATCAGATGCCTCCTGAAGAACTTTGGCAGATATCCCTGGGACTAATTATAACCAGTTAAGACTCATTTCGGGCTGTGAATGACGAAAATTCACAGCCGTTGAACTAAAATAAGAGTTTTGGGTTTTATATGAGTTTGTTGATGTCTCAGGAAGCCGTGGTCAGAACAACTACAGTAGAGCCTTGGGTCGTGACCGTAATCCATTCCCAGACTCCGGTCACGGCCTGATTTGGTCATGTCCGGAAGCACGACCGACTGTGCATGCGCACAGTAAAAAAAAAAAAAAAAATGGCGCCGAAGGTGAAATCGGTGTGGAAAAGGGAATCTTTTCCATGCCGATTTTGTTCGCCACCCGATTCTTGAATTGTGACCTGATTCAAAAATCGGGTGGAATTTTTTGTTCGCCACCCAATTTGTTCACAAACAGGAGCGTTTGCGACCCAAGGTTCAGGTTCCGCTGTATAACAGAGCACCACAGTTCCGTTGCTAAGTGAAACTTTTGTTAAATGAACGTAATACAGGTAGTCCTCAATTTATGATCACAACTGAGCCCCAAATTCCTGTCGTTAAGTGAGACTTTGTTAAGTGAGTTTTGCCCCATTTTATTATCTTTCTTGCCACACTTATTTAAGAGAATCGCTGCAGGTCAGTAATGTGGTTGTTCCATGAATCTTTTTTCTTTTTTCTTATTGGTAGTGCTGGATGTACGTATGTTTGTTTGTTTTTTGCTTCTTTTTCTGTTTTGCATTTTACTTTTTATGAGAAAATAAAATAAATCTATTTACAGAAGCCAATAAACAAAGAAACCTCTCTGCCTAGCAGCCTTTCATACTTCGGTTTAGGGAGACTGCTTTTGACATGGCGGGGGCCATAAAGGAAAGAGGTTTTTTTTAGATTTTACAATATAATTTAGAATAGAATAGACCTTGGATGGGACATTGGAGGTCTTCTAGTCTAGCCCCCTGCTCAAGCAGGAGATTCTATACCAATGGTAGAATTCAAAAGTTTTTTACTACTGGTTCTGTGGGCGTGGCTTGGTGGGCGTGGCGGGGGAAGGATATACTGCAAAATCCCCATTCCCTCCCCACCCCATTAACCTGCTTTCCAGCTCCCTTCTCCTGTGCAGGGCAACCGAAGGAGACCCAGCCAATCAGCTGGGACTCGGGAGGCGGAGAATAGATGGGGGCGGGGCCAGTCAGAGGTGGGATTTGCCGGTTCTCCGAACTACTCAAAATTTCCGCTACCGGTTCTCCAGAACGGGTCAGAACCCGCTGAATACCCACCTCTGTCCTATAACATCTCAGACAAGTGGCTGACCAGTCTCTTCTGAAAAACCTCCAGTGACGAAGCACCCACAATGTCTGAAGGGGAGCTGTTCCACGGGTTGATTTCCTCACTGTTAGAACATTTCTAATAGTGGCTTAAGTTGGATTAAGCCTGAGAGGAAGATAACCCCTCAGGCTTAAGTCAGAGAGGCCATTTTAATGGCTGAGGTCTGAGGTCACTGGCTATTGCCAGGACAGGCTCTTCCTTCAAGAGACAAATGCTTTTTGACGGTTATTTTAACCTCCCTGTTTGCACACATGTGGTTGCCAAAAAGAAGGGGAGGGGGAAATGGAGAGGATGGGGGGATTCTGGGCACTGGAATCCAGACAGCTTAAAATGACTAAGGAACATTAAGGAACTCTGATAGCAATAGCACTTTGACTTATATACGGCTTCATAGCGCTTTACATTGGTATATTGTCCCCAATGATCTGGGTCCTCAGTTTTCCGACCTTGGAAGGATGGGAGGCTGAGTTAACCTTGAGCTGGTCAGGGTTGAACTGCTGGCAGTGGACAGAATTAGCCTGAAGTGCTGCACTCTGATCACTGCACCACCATGGCTTTGATATTCAAAAGATTCCTTTATTAGGAGAGCCAGCAGACCCAGCAAAAACGTTTCTCTCTCAACGCCGGCTAACATGTCTGGCCAGCTGGAAGATGAATACATCTGTTCTGCCATATCTATTCATCTGTGCCCCGCTGCCTTTTATCCCCAGAGGTAGGGTGCGAATTTGCTAGCAGCAGTGGTTCTTTCTCCCCAAGGACCGGCCTATAGATTTCCACTGCTCTCCTCTCCTCTGCCTTCTGCACATCCATGCATCAGGCACGGACCCAGGTGTTCCTCCTATTCCTCATCAGCCACCTCCACACTTGAGGGATGTTGACTCTCCATCTGAGGGCTGATGGGTGGCCCAGGGTCCTCCTCTGTTTCTTTCTCTCTACCAACTCCATTCTCTCTTCCCCCTCGGAACTCCAAGGTTGCCTTGATGCTGACCCTGACTACCACTCCTCCTCCTCCTTCTCCACCTCCTCTTCCTCCTCCTCCTCCGATTCGGCTGCTGAAGCGGCTGGCAGCCAACAGGCTGGGTTCACACCATGCACCAAATCACACGGACTGAGATTAAAAGTAACGAAACTTAGCAGGGCATGTCAAGCTGTATCTGAACCGGTAAAGCGTCTTGAGACAGAATATTGTGTAAAACGGAGGGATGGATACTTCACCTCGTTCATTTGCTCAGACAGTGCCTGAAACAAAACTCCCAAATTTGTTGAGGGCCTCCTTCTATGTCAATAATTTTGTTAACAACGACAAAGTTAAGTCCGTACCTCGTCCGCAATCAGGCCCCAAAAACCCGAGGAAACAATGGCACGTTCCAGAAATGCAGTCCCCGTTTCCGTAACAGTTGCTGGGACAGTTCTCCACCGATTCTACGGAAAGAAGAAAAGAGAAAAAGTGAAGATAACATAGAACAAGGCAAAGTTAAACCTCAAAGGACATTCGCCAACGGGACAGAGGCATTGGCAATCCGATCATCCTTCTCATGTCAGTCTCCCCTTGACTGGATTGCTGTAACGGACTCGATGTGCGACTGCCCTTGAAGACTACACAGGAACTTCCTCAGAGGGTACAAAACTTTAGCTGGTATAAAGCCTGAGTACTAACAGAAGAAGGACTTAGTTTTGTCAGGTCCTGAGTTTACTTCTAGGCTGTGGGAGGAGGCATGGCAGAAGGCATAGGTGGAGTTAAAAGAGGCATCAGCTTAGAATCTCTACATAGTCACAAGCAGACGAAGTCCAATCCCCCTTGAATTCTGTGGACCATTATCTAAATCCAAGCAGGTGCTAATTTTTAATTGAGAAGATTTCTGAGCATAGGCCACTTAGCAATAAATCAGCTGAATTGGACCTTCTGTGTGGACCTGGTCTCCTGTGCCCGACCGATATGCAATGGTAGTAATACATAAAGTCCTATATAATTTTGGTAATAAGTATCTACAAAATCACTTGCAACCAAGGAGAATCTTCCCTGGTCAGATTTGGGCTTAGGATCCCTAACTCCTTGCGAAGTGTTCAGGAGGAGATTCGGAACTTGGGTTTGTTGTGAAATGCTTTGCGCTCTCCTGAGCTTGCTTGCTTTCTTGCAGACGTTTCATGACCCAACTAGGTAGCGTCATCAGTCTAGAAGGAGTGCAGTGTTTGATCTCTCTTTATATACCAGTGTTTTGCTCTGTTAGTGTTGATTAGCTTGTAGTTTACTGTTTGATTGTTTGTCTGAGTTGATTTATTAAGAGTGTCCCACCTAAGGAATCACTTACCCTCAGAATTAAGATCAGAAGAATACACTTAGAACACTTAAAAAGATCTGGTTGTTTAAGCAAGCAATTGAGGATTTAGAAAGGATTAAGTTCCTGAGGCGTACACAGGCACTATTTATTTTAATTTGCTTCACGGTGTCACAGGTGCCGAATTGATTATGGATTGTATATTGTGAACTTTTATTGATTGGATGTGCTGTATCGCTTTTGGTGAGCTCTCAGATTTGCCTGAATGACGGACTATTTCCTTAAATTAACATTTTTCAATAGCATAAAACAGACTTTTAAAACAAACTGTTTCATTCTTAAAACAGTTTGATAAATGTATTGCTTTCAAAACGTATTTTATAAATATCTATATATCTATATCTATATCTATATCTGTATCTGTATCTGTATCTGTATCTGTATCTGTATCTATATCTATATCTATCTATCTATCTATCTATCTATCTATCTATCTATCTATCTATGTTAAGTGGGCTAAAATATGTGTTGATGTTTTTTGATTCTTTTGGTATTCCTTCCCCCGCCCCCCTATTTTTTTCTGGAGGAAAAAAAAATAATAGAAACCTGTTTCAGATTTTGGAAAGCATTGTATTTCTATTTACTTTGAGAGAAAACAAAAATAAGGATAAGAGATAACCAAAACGTATATCTGAGAAGTCAACAGATTACAACATTTATGCAGTTCGTAATTAATATGTTGTTTTATTTCAGCAATCTCAACTTTCCACTAAATAATAATATTAATAATATATTATTATTAGTTTGAGGAAGGAATATATCTTTAAAAATGGGTACCTATAAAACTATGCATTATTTCATCTACGGTAAAAACTCTGTGAAATGCAATCTTAACTGACTATGTGCAAGATTGAGAGGAAAGGACGAATCGTGGTGATCACCATCCAACATAGAGGGAAAGCTTATGATGACAATTGGGACCAGGTTGCCTGTCATTGAGTGAAGCAGTTGTTAAGCAAGACATCTTCGCTCAACAATAGCAATACCAGCTCTCCCAGTTGCGGTCATTAAGCAGAGGGAGTGAAAGAGCTACGTGTGAAAAGAAAACTCATACCCTGGGTTGGAGAAAAGAAGGAGGTGACATGATAGTAGGGTTCCAACATTTGAGGGGCTGCCCCAAAGAAGAGAGAGTCAAGCTATTCTTCAAAGCCCCTGAAGGCAGGACAAGAAGCAATGGGTGGAAACTAATCAAGGAGAGAAGCAACCTAGAACTAAGGAGAAATTTCCTGACTGTGAGAACGATTAAACAGTGGAACAACTTGCCTCCAGAAGTTGTTAACACTGGAAGTTTTTAAGAAGAGATTGGACAGCCATTTGTCTAGAATGGTAGAGGGTTTCCTGCCTGAGCAGGGGGTTGGACTAGAAGACCTCTATGGTCCCTTCCAACTTTGCTATTCTGTTTATTTCCTTTTGGGCTTTTTGATTGTTTCTTTTGAATGGTATGTAGCCGTTGTTTATCTCAGTGTGACTGTTGATGGCCGATTTGTCTCTGTGCCAGGCTTCCAGGAATTCTCTAGCATTTTCGGACTTGGCTTGGTCTAAGATGCTCAGAGTCTCCCCGCTGAAACCATAGTTATGCATGTCTACATCTACTCCAAGCTTGGCAGATAGGATTCCTCAAAAACCCTCCTGTGTCCTGAAAGCAGGAGAGGAAGGAATGGATGGAAACTAATGAAGGAGAGAACCGACCTGGAACTAAGGAGGAATTTCCTGACAGAATAAATCAACCAGTGGAAAAAGTTGCCTTCAGAAGTTGTGGGTGCGCCAAGACGGAAGGTTTTTAAGACGAGATTGGACATCCCTTTGTTTGGAATGTTATAGAGCAGAGGCGTCAAACTCAAGGCCCTTGAAAACAGAGCTCGGGAGGGCACGGTCCTTCCAGGTTCTGTTTTCAGCAGCGACAGCCTCCGGCAGCCCTCTGCCAGCGAAAATGGTGGGGGGCTGCATTGGCAGAGGGCTGCCGGAGGCTGTCGCGGCTGAAAACAGGGCCTGGGGGGGATTGCACGTGAGGACTCCCTGAGCTCCGTTTTGTCTGGCAGAGGGCTAGCAAAACAAACTAAAAACAAAAGAAATGGAGAAATGTGTCTCTTTTGCATGCAAGAAGGGACAGAAAGGAGAAAGGGAAAGAGAAAGAAAAAGAAGGGGAGTTGGAAAGAGAGCAAGGAAGGAAAAATAAGGAAAGAGGGGAAGGAAGAAGGAAGGAGAATGAAAAGGGAAGTAAATAAGTAAGTACAGAAGAAGGAAGGAAGGAAGGAAGGAAGGAAGGAAGGAAGGAAGGAAGGAA